TTCCCCGTGTGCCAAACCACGGGCTCCAGGCTCAGCCCCGCGGCCCCCGCGCCCAGCACGGCCACCAGCAGCGCCGCCGCTCGCCCCGCCATGGCCCCCCCCGCCTCGGGAGGGGGCTCCGACCCCGGCCCCGCCTCGGGAGGGGGCTCCGACCCCCGCCAGGACCCCCGGCCCCGACCCCCGGCCCGGCCCGGACTCGAACCCGGGTCCCCGCGGGGCCGCCCCGGCTGCGCCCGCGCCGGCTGCGGGGGGTGGGGCTTAGGAGGGGGCGTGGCTTGGAGCAGGGGCGGGGTCTTAGTTGGGCGTGGGTCCATAATAAGGGGCGTGGTCGTGGATGGGGTTATTAAAGGGGTGTGGTCATGGGGCGTGGTTAGTGATTCCCCAGGGGGCGGGGCCTGGAGAGGTGGGTGTGGCTTTTCGGGGATGGGAGGTAGCCTGGAGTGGGTGTGGCTTGTGGAGGCGTGGCTTAGGGTTAATTAGCACGATCTAACACTTAAAGGGGCGTGGCTATTAGGAAGGGGTGTGGTCAAAAACCCAACTTGGCCACACCCACAGATCTGACCGTGGTGTGGGCGTGGCCACAACCTCCATGGTGACATCACACCCTCACTGTTGCCATGGTGACGGTGAAGCTGCTTAAGAACAAGCTCCGCCCCTTTGGGGAGGAGGGGGCTCTTAAAGGGGCAACGCCGGAATTGGAGGGTGGGGACCACTGAGGGGGTGGGGCAGATTTGGGGGTACCTGGGGGGGGGTTGGGGCGCGGTGGCAGCTCTGGCCACACCTCCTTCCATGATGGCCCCACATGGGTGACAGAGGGTGACAATCACAACGTCTTTAGTACAACCCAGACCTGGAGGTGACATTTGGGGTCCCCAGGGGCCTGTGACCCTCCAGGGGTCAGTGCTGGTGACCCCAGGGTGACATTTGGGGTGTCCAGGGTGACATTCGTGGCCCCCAAGGGTGACAGTCACTGTCCCCGGCATGGGTGACAATTGGTGTCCCCAGAGGTGTCACCGCTGGCAGAGGTGTGGTGGCTGATCCCGGTGTCCCCAAGGGTGTCCCCAGACAGGTGACACTCGGTGCCACCAGGACGGTGACATTCGGTGTCCATGGTCACGGTGTCCCTGGGGGTGTCCTGGCTGCTGTCCCCAAGGGGGTGACACTCAGTGTCCTCAGGGAGGTGACAATAACAGTCCCAGTGTCCCCAAGGGGGTGACACTCAGTGTCCTCAGGGAGGTGACAATCGCTGCTCCTGGTGATCCCAAGGAGGTGACAATTGGTGTCTTCAAGGGAGGTGACAATAACCAGTCTCAATGTCCCCAGGGAGGTGACAATCACCAGTCCTAGTGTCCCCAGGGGGGTGACAATCGCTGGTCCTGGTGTCCCCAGGGAAGTGACAATTACCTGTCCCCAAGGAGGTGACAATGGCCGGTCCCATTGTCCCCGGGGAGGTGACAATCACTGGTGTCCCCAGGTAGATGACAGTCGCCAGCCTCAGTGTACCCAGGGAGGTGACAATGGCTAGTCCCAGTGTCCCCTTGGAGGTGACACTCGCCACTCCTGGTGTCCCTGGGGAGGTGACAGTCACTGGTCCCGGTGTCCCCAGGGAGGTGACAATTGCCAGTCTGGATATCCCCAGGTAGGTGACACTCGCTGGAGTCCCCACGGAGGTGACAATCACCAGTTCCAGTGTCCCCAGGCGGGTGACACTCGTTGGAGTCCCCAGGGAGGTGACAATCACCAGTCCCAGTGTCCCCATGGAGATGACAATCACCGGTGTCCCCAGGCAGGTGACACTCACTGGTGTCCCCAGGGAGGTGACAATCACCAGCTCCAGTGTCCCCAGGGAGGTGACACTCGCTGGTGTCCCCAGGCAGGTGACAATCACCGCTGTCCCCGGGGCTGTCGGGTCCCCACCACCAGAGCTGCAGCCGGATGTCCCCTCCCGGGGCTGGCCCGTCCTCTGTCCCCTCCTGCTCGCTGTCACTGTCCCACGGCGCCGGGAAGAGCCGCTGGCCCGAGGCCGTGGCCAGGAGAGGCAGCCAGGGGTGGAGGCTGGGGGGGAAATTTGGGGGAAAATTTGGGGGATTTGGGGTGGAAATTGGGGGGCTCTGGGATAAAAAATTTGGGGGATTTCAGGGAGTTTGGGGTGGAAACTGGGAGGGAAATTTGAGGAACTTAAGAGGAGTTTGGGGTGGAAGTTTGAGGGATTTGGGGTAAAAATGGGGGGAGGAAATTTGGGGAATTTAATGAAATTTGGGGGGGTTGGAGTGGAAATTTGGGGCAAAGATTTTGGGGGGAAATTTGGGGGAATTTGAGTGGATTTGAGGTGGAGCCTCAGTGGAACCATCTGAGGAGTTTGGGGTGACCAAGGGGAGAATTTGGGGGATATTTTGGGGGGGGTCTCAGATGTTTGGGGTGGCCACAGGTATTTTGGGGAGGGGGATCCCCAGTTTTTTGGGGGGTGTTACCTGGTGCCGTTGACGCAGTCGCGGAGGGCGCGGAAGCGAAGGACGGGGGGCAGCTCGGGGGGGTCCCCGGGCCCGGGGGGGGTCAGGGTGTCCCACACGGTGACAAAGCCATCGGTGTCACCGCTGACCAGGAACTGTCCCGACCTGGGGCAGGGGGGCACGAGGGGACAATGAGACAAAGGGGTCCCTCAAACCCCCCCAAAAAACAGACCCAGGGTTCTTGGACCCCCCAAAAATTCCCTCCAAACGTAACTCAGGTGTCCAGGACATCCCCAAAAGTTGGCCCAGGTGTCCAGGATGTCCCCAAGAAGGTGACCCAGGTGTTTAAGACCCCCAAAATCCTCTCTAAAAGGGGACCCAAGTGTCCAGGACCCTCAAAAATTCCCCTCAAAAGTTGTCCCAGGTGTCCAGGGCGTCCCCAAAAGGTGTCCCAGTTTTTTGGGGGGTCACTCACGGGTCGAGGTCGAAGGTCACGCGCTGGTTGGTGGCCACGCGCCGCGGCAGCGCCAGGAGGGGACGATCGGGGACACGAAGGTCCCAGCATAGGATGTGGCGGTCCTGGGGGCGGGGCCAGCCAGGGACACGCCCATCAGGCCGGAAGCCACGCCCCCAAAATGAGCGAACAACTACCCCTCCCATAAACCACGCCCACAAAGCCACACCCAGTACAATGGGAGATTCCCAAACCCCGCCCCTAAAGCCACGCCCAGTCTGGGGTGCCACCCCCAGAACTGAGGTCACGCCCCCAAACAGGCCACGCCCACCCCAAACCCACTCCCAGCTGGGGGTGCCACACCCCCAAAAACGATACCACGCCCATCCCAGAAACCACGCCCACTCCCAAGCCACACCCACCTTCCTCCCCCCCGCGTACAGGTGAGTCCCGCAGGGGCTGAAGCGCAGGTGAGTGGGCGCGGCCGGGAGGCGGGGCCAGAGCGCCACGGCCCCGCCCCCTTCCAGCGGGTACAGCCCCAGGCTCCGCCCATAGGAGCCGCAGGCGAACAGCGATTGGCTGGGGCTGAAGGCCAGGCAGCCAATCAGGCCTCGCTGGCCCCGCCCACCTTCTGTGGGGGTGGAGACAAAGGTGAGGCCACGCCCCATCAGTGAGGTCACACCCCCTTGGGCTCCACCCACTCAACTCCCGCCTTTCATTGGCCCACGCCCATCAAAGCCACACCCATTTAAGCTCTGTCCTGCCCCTCCCCTTTAGGCCCCACCCACTTCCCAAAAATCCCTTAACTCTCCTCAAACCACACCTATGGCCCCTCCCCTTTTAACCCCACCCATCCAAGCCACGCCCCCTTCCAATCGTCCCAATTTCCCGCAAATAAAGGGGGGGGGGAACCACCCCAGCCCCGCCCCTTTAGGCCTCACCCCTTTCCCTTTAAGCACCGCCCCTTTCAATTCAGGCCACGCCCCATTTGCCTTTAGACCACTCCCCCTTTACTCCCATCCCTGCCATCAAAATCCCAATTCTCCCCAAAATAAAGGGGGGGAACGGCCCCCTCCCCACCCCAGGACCCCTCCCCCTTTGGCCCCGCCCTCTTTAGCCCCGCCCCTCACCCCTCAGCACTCTCTCATGGCCGCTCCTCCCCGGCCGCTCGGTCGGGAACTCTCGGATGGCGCCGTCGAAGCCCCCCAGGAGCCAGGAGCCATCGGGGGCAAAGGCCAGAGAGTGGGGGGCCACCGGCTCGTCCTGGGGGACCCCAAAACACCCCGGGACATCAGGGGGGACCCCAACCCCAAAATCCACCCTGGGACATCAGGGGGGACCCCAACCCCAAAACCCACTGGGACATCAGGGGAGACCCCAACCCCAAAATCCACCCCGGGACATCAGGGGAGACCCCAACCCCAAAACCCACTGGGACATCAGGGGAGACCCCAACCCCAAAACCCACTTGCGACATCAGGGGAGACCCCAACCCCAAAATCCACTGGGACATCAGGAGGGACCCCAACCCCAAAATCCACCCTGGGACATCATGGGAGACCCCAACCCCAAAACCCACCAGGACATCAGGGGAGTCCCCAACCCCAAAACCCCAACCCCACCCAGGTATTGGGGAAACCCCAAAACTCTTCCCATTAAAGTGTTAAATCATCTCTGTGATCCCAAAAACACCTCCAGGCATCTGAGGGGTCCCAAACCCCAAAACCCTGAGGGGTTTCCCCCCCACCTCAGGTGCCTTTTTCCCCTCAGTTTCCCCCCAGTTCCTTCCCAGTCCCTCCCAGTTCCCCCAGTACCCACCAGGTGGTTGTGGGCACGGAACGACCCCCGCAGGGTCCCATCGAAGGCGTCCCAAAGGTGCACGGGGTTGTCACGGCTGCTGGCGGCCACCCTGCCCAGTATGGACCAGTATGGACCAGTATGGACCAGTATGGACCAGTATGGACAGTAGTGACCTCCCAGAAACCTCCTCTGCTCCCAGTACACCCCTCCCAGTTCATCCCAGTAACAACCAGTTCATCCCAGTGCCTCCATTCTCCTTCCAGTAACCCTCCCAGTCCTCTCCCAGTACATCCCAGTCCCATCCCAGTCCCTCCCAGTCCCTCCCAGTACATCCCAGTCCCTCCCAGTACATCCCAGTAGCTCACAGGCAGGTGGAGGGCTGGTTGGAGTCCATCAGGGGGTACCAGGTGAAGTCGTAGATGGTGTCACCTTCGGCCACCTGCAAGGCTGGGACCTGTAACCCAGAGTGACAACAGAGTGACCCCAGAGTGACCAAGAGTGACCAGAGAGTGACCACAGAGTGACCAAGAGTGACCAAGAGTGACCAGAGAGTGACCAGAGAGTGACCAGAGAGTGACAACAGAGTGACCACAGAGTGACCCCAGAGTGACCAAGAGTGACCAGAGAGTGACAACAGAGTGATCACAGAGTGACCCCTGAGTGACCCAGAGTAACCCCCGAGTGACCCTGAGTGACCCCTAGCCCCCCTAATCCCCCCCCAAGACCCCTCCCAGCCCCCCCAAATCCCCCCTGTGACCCAAAACCATCCCCAGCCCCCTCAAATCCCCCCATGACCCCCCCAACCTCTCCAGTTTCCCCCCAGTTTCCCCCCAGTGCCCCCCACCCACCAGCTCGGGCAGGGGCGGTGCCGGGGGGGGTCCCGGGGGGAGGGGGAGGTCGAAGATCCTCAGGGCGTTGTCGTTGCTGCAGGTCAGGACACAGGAGCCATCGGGGGCCCTGAGGGGACACCCCCATTGTCACCCCCTGGGGACCCCAAAAATATCCCCCAGGTGTTGGGGACACCCCCATTGTCACCCTCTGGGGAACCCCAAAATACCCCCTGAGGGGACAACCCCATTGTCACCCCCTTGGGACCCCAAAAATATCCTCCAGGTGTTGGGGACACCCCCATTGTCACCCCTGAGAGATCCCAAAATGCACCCCCCGAGGGGATCCAGATGTTGGGGACTCCCATTCTCACCCCCCACCCAGGGGACCCCAAAACTCCCTCCCCAGGTAACCCAGGGGTCGGGGACCCCCAAACCCTCCCAAAGAATTCTTCCAAAAGGAGCAGGGGGTTTTGGGGTGATTTAGGGCGGTTGTGGGGTGATATAGGGTGGTTTTTTGGGGTGATTTAAGGAAGTTTTTTGGGATGATTTAAGGAGGTTTTTCGGGGTGATTTAGGGAGGTTTTGGGGTGATCTTGAGAGGTCTTTTCTTTTTTCGGGGGGGATCTCTCACCATTTGCAGCCTCGCAGGAAATTTTCGGGGCGCCGCGCGAATTCCTCCCGAGCCCCCCAAATCTGGCGGGGGGGGCGGCTCAGCTCGTACGGGAAGAACCTGAGGGGACCGAGGGGTGTCAGGGACCCCCCAAAACCCCTCAGAAAGTCAGAGACCCTCCCTCAAAAATCCCCCACAAAAAAAAAACCAAAAACTCACTCGATCGCTCCGGGCTCCTCCGGGGCCGCGTCCTGAGGGGTCTCGGGGGATTTGGGGACCCCCTGAGGGGCTGTGGGGGGAGGGGAGAGGTCAGAGCCCCGCCCCCACTCCCGTCACCCCCCCTGGGGGTCCCCAAATCCCCCCCAAATCCCCCAAAATTCCCCCAAAAACCTCCTCTCCCCCCCTCCCCTCACGCGCACCCTCAGCTGAGGGCACCGCCATGACACTGCGAGGCCCCGCCCCCTCAGCGCCCGCGCTCTCTGCTGGCCACGCCCCTCATCGCCATATATGGAACAAGGCGGGCTGCGATTGGCTCCTCCCTCTGTGGGCGGGGCCTCGGCGTTTCCCGCCGAAAGGGGACGCACGTGATTTGGGGACGCACGTGACTTGGGGACTTCGAAATGTGACCCCAAAATGGGCCCCAAAAAGGGGTCAGGGGGACCTGGAGACCCCAAAGTGCGATTGAGAGGGGATTGGAGGGCTCCAGGACACCCCAAAATGGGTTCAGGGGGACCTGGACACCCCGAAATGTCACCCAAGGGGGTTGGAGGCCACCAGGGTACACCAAAATGTCACCTGAGAGGGTTCAGAATGACACAGGACACCCCAAAATGTCACCTGGGGGGTTGGAGGACTCCAGGAACCCCAAAATGCCACCTGAGGGGGTTCAGAATGACACAGGACATCCCAAAATGTCATCTGAGAGTTTGGGGGTGTCCCCTCCCTTGTCCCTCCCCCAAAAAGAGTCACAGGTGAAAATCAGTAAAACTTTTATTGATTTCTCCGCAAAACTCCAAACTCCCCGAAATTCGCTTCCCCTCCCCCCCCCAACAACCCCAAAAGTGAAAACAGCAAAACAAGGAGGGGTGGGGGAGGGGCAAAGGACCCCCAAAACCCCCGAACCCCCAAAACCGCCACCGAGCCCCACCCCCACCCCCCACCCATTAACGAACGACCCCATAAATTACAACGCCCCTCCCCCCCCCACGGGCTCCCCCAAAATCAGGGGGGGCTCCCACGCCTGCCCCTCCCCCACCCCAAATGGGGGGGGTCACCCTCGACTTGGGGGTCACCCCAAATTTAAGGGGTAGAGCCCGGTTTGGAGAGCGACCCCCCAATTTTAAGGGTTTCACCCCAATTTAGGGGTCCCCCCCAATTTAGGGGTTCCCTCTCAAACTTGTCTCCAACTTTGGAGGTGACTCCGAATTTAGGGGTCACCCCAAATTTGGCATCACCACCCTTTGGTGTCACCTGCCAGCTTGGGGGTCACCCCAAACTTTAGGGTCACCCCAAAATCCTGTGGGGACTCAGGGGGTGACAACCCCAACCCCCCCCCTCAATTTGGGGGTGTCGTTGGGAATTGGGGTCACCCTCAATGGTTTTGGGGGGTGACAACCCCAGAGAATTTTGGGGGGTTTTTGGGGGTGACACACCCCCGACCCCATTTCAAAGTGGGGGTGACATTCCTGGGTAAATTTTGGGGTCACCCCCACGGCCTGTGGGGGTGACAACAACCCCGACCCCGTTAGAACTTGGGGGTTCAGGGGTGACACCTTTGACCCCGCACTGATGTGGGGTTTCTGAGGGGTGACAACAACAACCACAGCCCCAAATCAATTTTGGGGTCACCCCCACGGCCCGGGGGGGGGTTTGGGGTGACAACAACCCCAATCCAATATTGATTTAGGGTTTTTTTGGGGTGACAACTACCCCAATCCCACATGGATGTCAGGTTTTTGGGGGGGGGGTGACAACAACCACAGCCCCAAATCAAATCTGGGGTCACCCCCACGGTCTGGGGGGTTTTTGGGGGTGACAACAACCCAAATCCAATACTGATGGGTTGTTTTTGGGGTGACAACTACCCCAATCCAATATTGACATAGAGTTTTTTGGGGGTGACAACAACCCCGTCCCCATATTGATTTGGGGGTCACCCCCATGGCCTGGGGTTTTTTTTTGGGGTGACAACAACCCCGCCCCCACGCCGATGTGCTCAGTTGTCGTCGTCGCTGTCGTCGGGGCTGATGGCCGGGCTGGTGAGGCTGTAGGTCGGCGACGTGGGGCTGTAGCCGGGGGATGTGGGGCTGTACGTGGAGCCCTTGGGTGACGTGGGGCTGTAGGTGGGCGACGTGGGGCTGTACTTGGGCGAGGTGGGGCTGTAGGTGGGCGAGGTGGGGCTGTACTTGGGCGACGTCGGGGTGTAGACGGGCGAGGTGGGGCTGTAGGTGGGCGAGGTGGGGCTGTACTTGGGCGTGGTGGGGCTGTAGGTGGGCGAGGTGGGGCTGTACTTGGGGGACGTGGGGCTGTACTTGGGCGAGGTGGGGCTGTACTTGGGCGAGGTCGGGGTGTACTCGGGGGAGCTGGGGCTGTAGCTGGGCGAGGTCGGGGTGTACTTGGGCGACGTGGGGCTGTAACTGGGGCTGCTGGGGCTGTAACTGGGGCTGCTGGGGGTGTAGGTGGGCGACTGCGGGGTGTAGCGGGGGCTGGACGGGGAGTAACTGGGAGAGGTGGGGCTGTAACTGGGGGAGGTGGGGCTGTAACTGGGAGAGGTGGGGCTGTAGTTGGGCGAGGTCGGGGTGTAGTTGGGGCTGGTGGGGCTGTAACTGGGAGAGGTGGGGCTGTAGCTCGGCGAGGTCGGGGTGTAGTTGGGACTGGTGGGGCTGTAGTTGGGCGAGGTGGGGCTGTAGCTGGGAGAGGTCGGGCTGTAACTGGGAGAGGTTGGGCTGTAACTGGGAGAAGTGGGGCTGTAACTGGGAGACGTGGGGCTGTAGCTGGGCGAGGTGGGGCTGTAACTGGGAGAGGTTGGGCTGTAACTGGGAGATGTTGGGCTGTAACTGGGCGAGGTGGGACTGTAACTGGGAGAGGTCGGGCTGTAACTGGGAGACGTGGGGCTGTAGCTCGGTGATGTGGGGCTGTAACTGGGCGAGGTCGGGCTGTAACTGGGCGAGGTGGGGCTGTAACTGGGAGAGGTCGGGCTGTAACTGGGTGAGGTGGGGCTGTAGTTGGGCGAGGTGGGGCTGTAACTGGGGGAAGTGGGGCTGTAGCTGGGCGAGGTGGGGCTGTAGCTGGGGCTCTGCGGGGTGTAGCCCCCCGGTGACCGCGGCTCGTAGGCGGGGGACGTCGGGCTGTAGCTGGGGGACATGGCCCCACCTGCGGAGAGGGGACACAGGGGGTCAGCAGGGCACTGGTCAGGGTGTTGGGGGGTGGTCGGGGTGTTGTGTAGGTGTGGCAAGTGCTGGGGGACCCTTTGAGGGGGTGTTCGGGTGTTGTAGGGCTGACTGAGGGGCTGTATTGGGTAATTTGGGGTGTTTCAGTGTGTTTTAGTGTGTTGTTAGGGTGTTACATGGTAGTTTATGGGTGTTTGGGTTTTTTTTAGGGGTATTTTAGGATGTTTCAGGGTGTTTGGGGTGTTGTTAGGTGTTTCTGTGTGTTTCGGGGTGTTGTTAGGGGTTTTTGCGTGTTCAGGGTTATTTGGGGTTATTTAGGGGGTATTTTAGGGTGTTTCGGGGTGTTGTCAGGAGTTTGTGTGTATTTAGGGTTATTCTGGGTTATTCCGGGGGTATTTTAGGATATTTTAGGGTGTTTCAGGGTGTTGTTAGGGGTTTGTGTGTATTTAGGGTTATTCAGGGTTATTTACGGGGTATTTTAGGGTGTTTCGGGGTGTTGTCAGGGGTTTGTGTGTATTCAGGGTTATTCTGGGTTATTTGGGGGGTATTTTGGGGTGTTTCAGGGTGTTGTTAGGGGTTTGTGTGTATTCAGGGTTATTTGGGGGTATTTTGGGGGTATTTAGGGGGTATTTTAGGGTGTTTCAGGGGTGTTTTTGGGGCTGTACTCACCGGGGGAGGGGATGTAGGGGCTGGAGGGCCCGGGTGACCCCGGCGAGCCGGGTGTGGGTGACCAGGCCGGGGAGTAACCGGGGCTGAAACCGGAGGCGTCGGAGGCGGCGCTGGGGGAGAACCCGGCCCCACCCGGGGTCATCCCGCTGCCTGTGGGGGGAAAAAAGGGGGTCAGGGGGACCCCAAATACAGCCTGAGACCCCAAAACCAGCCCCAGACAGAACCTGAGACCCCCAAAACCAACCCCAAACACAGCCTGAGACCCCAGAACAGAACCTGAGACCCCAAAACCAGCCTGGCCCCACCCGGGGTCATCCCGCTGCCTGTGGGGGGAAAAAAGGGGGTCACAGGGGGACCCCAAATACAGCCTGAGAGCCCAGAACCACCCCAGAACAGAACCTGAGACCCCCAAACCAGCCCCAAATAGAACCTGAGACCCCAGAACCAGCCCCAAACAGAACCTGAGACCTCCAAACCAGCCCCAAATAGAACCTGAGACCCCAAAACCAGCCCCAAAAAGAACCTGAGACCCCAAAACCAGCCTGGCCCCACCCAGGGTCATCCCGCTGCCTGTGGGGACCCCAAATACAGCCTGAGACCCCAGAACCATCACAAAACAGAACCTGAGACCCCCCAAACCAGCCCCAAACACAACCTGAGACCCCAAAACCTGAGCCCCAAACAACCTAAGACCCCCCAAAATCAACTCCAACTCCAGCCCAAGACCCCAAAACCCACCCCAGGATCCCCCCAAACAGACCCCAAATCCCCTCCCCACACCCATCCCAGTGCCCCCCATTTCACCCCAGACCCTTCTTACCCATCCAAGCCCCCCAAAACCCACCCCAGGACACCCCAAAATGCCCCCCAGAGCCATCCCAGTCCCTCCCAGTCCGTCCCAGTTGCCCCCACGTACCCACGCTGGGGGACCAGGCGCCGTAGGCCGGGGTGGCCCCCTGGTTCCAGGGGGTCATGGCCGGGGACATGGCCCCCATGGGGCTGGGGGCCGAGCCAAAGAACATCCCGGTGGCTGTGGAGAGACAGAGAGAGAGAGAGAGGGGTCAGGGGCACCCCAAAATCGGGGGGAACCCCAAAATAGGGGGGACACCAACATCTGGGGGGACACCAACATCTGGGGGGACACCAGGTGACCAGGACAGGGTGACAGTGGTGGCCATGGTGATGTTGGGGGTCTTTGTGTCACCACCACCACCCTTGGGGTGTCCCACATTTTCCCAGGGGTATCCCCATTTCCCCACGGGTGTCCCCAGGGCTGTCCCCATTTCCCCAGGGGTGTCCCCATTTCCCCAGGGCTGTTCCCATGGGTGTCCCATTTCCCCAGGGGTGTCCCCATTTCCCCAGGGCTGTTCCCATGGGTGTCCC